CTATGACTTTTCGATAGCAATTCCCTAGCGAATTGCTGAAGAGTCAGTTAATAGTTAAAGGCTATTTCGCACCATTATCGAACAGAAATCCAAAAAACTCTCTCTAGAATTTCTTTTTTTAGAAATTCTGATCTCAAATTTCCCAATTGACAGTTGGTTGAAAGTTGTTAGCCAATTTTATTTTATTATTATTATTATTATTTTCTTTTCTATTTTAGTTTTTAATCGTTGGAACAATTTCGAATTTTTTTTTTTTGATGAAATCTCATCAAAAAATGCATGTTTTTTTAGAAAAATCGGTAAAAAATATTAAGTAATTTAACTCGTAAAAATGACCAATTTAGTAAATTGGGTAGAAATTTGAAAAAAAAATTGTAGACGTGTAAATTTTCATTGTCGTTCGTCTGTGTGTCTGTCTATTATCTTTTACTCTCTAGAGTGGAGTTAAATAGATGAAATCCGAGATCAGATATGAAAGTTTAGAAATAAGAGGTCACGATTAACTGTATATAAATTAAAACCGGAAGTCACGTTATTTCAATTCAAAAAATTTTTTTCGTATAATGAGTGAGATGACAGCACGACTCCGTTGCTAACAGGGAAAGTATTATGTACAGGGGATTGATAACAAGAAAGTATGATGTACTGTACAGGGGCAAGCTTGACACTACTAAAATCGAGAGCCTATATTTTAAATTAAATTTAAAATATGATTAAAAATTTCAGCTTTGTATTGTGATTATGTCACAGTAAATAATTGTTTTATTTATGTATTTTTAAAAAATAATATATCGAATATTTTGGTGATTTTTAGATTAAAATTTTAAAAATTTCTGTTAGAATTTTAGTAATATATTTTTTTTGTATTTTCGAATAGAATTTTAAAAAAACATAGCCAATTTATTTTTATAAAAAATTTTGCGAAATTTTAACTAATATTTTTAGTAATAATTTTTTGCAGAAATTAGCGAGTTTATTAGAAATTTCTAAAAATTTGCTTGAAATTTTAAGTGATTATTATTTTATAATACATTTTTTTTTTTGTGTGAATTTTAGCAATTTTTAAGATAAAAATTAGAAATTTCTGCTAGATTTTTCTTTGATTTTTCTCGTATGTTAGTGGTTTTTGATGAAATTTATTAAATATTATTCGAAATTTTAAAGAAATTTTAAAATATTTTTACAGTTTTAGAGATTAGATTCAAAAAAAATTATTTATTATTATTCAATAGTTTTGCATTTTAAATTGTATTTATTTCTTAGATGATGAGCCAAATTTTTTAAATCATGTGGTTTTATAGATCAAGTTAAAAGTGTTTTAGATAATTTTTGTGTCGATTTTGTTGTTTGTATTTTTGGAAAATAAAGAAAAAAATAATAATCTCATTAAATTCTGCTTGAAACTGTGTTGAAGGAAAAAAAAAACCCACAGAAAACAATATAGCTATGATGTCATCTTGCAGAAATGTCATCACCTTGCAGCACTGGTGACAACAACGACCAACAAATAATATCAAAAAACACCTTACAACAAAAAATAACCTATTTTTTTTTATTAATATGAATGTAATGAGCAACTTGTTGGTATCATAAAAAAATATATTAATGAAGAAATCCAATTAAAAAAAAATCTTTCAAAAAATCCACGTGATCGGTCAAATATTTGCATTTTTTTTTTATTTTTTCAATCTAAAAATAAACATAAATGTAATTAAATTGTGTGTGTTACTAAAGTGTGTTTTTTAATAAAAACAATTAAGTTTTTTTGGTGTTTTTGGTTAATATTTAATGGCGTTTTAGATTAAAAATAATTGCATTTATTAAATCTAAAAAAGCATAAAATTAAATTTAAATGCGTATTTTTTTTTATGAAAAAAAATTTTTTTTCTTGGTTTCTGTATTTTTTTGGATGAATCTCGAATGGTATTTTTATGATAAATAACGTTATTGCATTTCAAATTATAATAATTATTTTTAAAAAAATCAAATAAGAGTATTTCAAAGCAGAAAAAAAAACTTTTTTTTAGATGTAGGAGAAGTCTCTGGGTCGTTCTAAAAAAGTTAAAATAAATATTTTAAAATGTTAAAGAATATAAAATTAAATTATGGATAAATCTTTAAAAAAAAAATTTTATGAAAAGTTCATGTCGGGTTTTGGCATAAATCTCCATTTTAAAAATCAAGTAATCGATATATTTTTTTATTTTTTTTGTATTAATATAGAATCTGATTTTTTCGAGAAAATGAAATAAAGAAAATCCGAAAAAATTCCAAAAAATATTACTAAAATTACAACAAAATCAACGAATTGAGTGGAAGTTTCTGTAAAAAACGTCTACAAAAATCGGGATTTTTGGATAATATCTAAAAATAACAATTAAATATTTATGCAGAAAGCAGAGTTAAGTAATTGCACAGTGCAAAAATCTAAAAAAGAAAAAAAATCAATGAATTTTGTGTAAATTTCTTATCAAGAAAGTGAAATGACTGGAGAATTTAAGGGTAATGTCTATAAAAGTTGAACTTTTTTTAGATTTTTGTTTAAAAAATAGTCTGTTAGGTATGCAAGATAAAAAAGCATAATGGTAAATGTCAAAAATACAAAGAAACTTCAAAAAAATCAATGTAACCATCAGCATAATCAGAGGAATTTAGTAGTAACTGGAGGGTAGGTAAGTGTATAAAAATCTGATCTTTTACATTATATAAGTTTTAAAAAATGCAGTAAATACTTCGAAAAATTAAATGAAAATTATGAAAAAAAATCAAATAAATTAAGCAGTAATTTAAGAATAAAAGTCTTTTTAGAATTATTCAAAAAAATACAATTGTGTACGGTATAAAAACACGATTTTGTATAAGAAATTAATACTAAAACATCAAAAAAAGCGGTGAAATTATTTTTAAAAATCTTATAAATTAAGCAATAGTTAAAAGATAAAGAAAGCCTCTGAAAGCTCATCCAAAAAAAAAAAAACAGTAAGTCCTGGATAATGTACTGGAAATACAATTAAATTAATGTAAAATTATAGAAAAAAACTGCTTGTGAGGGATGTAACGGTTGTTTTAGAAGGATTTACTCTGTATAAATCTAAAAAAAACTCGATTTCTAATCTAAAAAATTGAGTGTGATGAGTGTAAGGGTGTTTTTAGAACGGTTTACTTTATAGAAACTCAGAAAAAAATTTGGATTTTTAAATCTAAAAAATTGATATATGCTAAACCCAATGTGAGATTTATATTTTTATCCATTAGGGAGTGAATTTGTATTGTATTTTTTTTGTTAAACCTCAATTTTTTTGATGTATTCGATCCAAAAAAACATTCTTTTACATTAAAGGGTGGATGTAACAGTTGCTAACACAACACTTTCTAAGAAACGTGATCTTTAGTAAGGATAGTGGTTGTCGTCGTTACGATCCTCCTGGGATTTACACTTTATTGCTACTTTTAGAAACACTATCCTCACTTAATTTACTCCCAAGTGTTGTGTTTCTCTATAGCTTTCAATAAAGATTTTTATTGCAATAATTTTAAATACTTGTGTCTTAACTGGCTTCTATAATAAATAAACTGCAACTGGACAGTCTAATGATGTTTTTAGAACGGTTTATTTCTATATAAAATTAAAGAAATTTTGAGGTTTTTTTTGGATTTTTACATTAGATTAGTGTAAAATAATAAAATAAACCCATTTTAATGGCTATTTTTTTTTTAGAAATCCAAAAAGAAACTTGACTTTTAGATATAAGTGTAGGTTTATATACCAGAGATACTTGCTAAACTCTTCTATTCACATCATTACACTAACCATGAGGTTTATATTCTATTTTTATATTAATTAATGTGTCTTTAGCATATTACCATACATTTCTGTAAAGTTTTTTGATGTAAAAATCCAAAAACACTCAAATTTCTCCACTTTTATACAGGAATACTGTTCTAAAATCATCATTACGCTAACTTCACACAGTTTATTCTATTTATTTTAATGTAAATACATTAAAATAAATAGAATAAACTGTGTGAAGTTAGCGTAATGATGATTTTAGAACAGTATTCCTGTATAAAAGTGGAGAAATTTGAGTGTTTTTGGATTTTTACATCAAAAAACTTTACAGAAATGTATGGTAATATGCTAAAGACACATTAATTAATATAAAAATAGAATATAAACCTCATGGTTAGTGTAATGATGTGCATAGAAGAGTTTAGCAAGTATCTCTGGTATATAAACCTACACTTATATCTAAAAGTCAAGTTTCTTTTTGGATTTCTAAAAAAAAAATAGCCATTAAAATGGGTTTATTTTATTATTTTACACTAATCTAATGTAAAAATCCAAAAAAAACCTCAANACATAAGTTTAGGTTTCAGTAGCCTTCATAAAAGTAGAAAAACAACAATCTTTATCTAAAAAATTGATATATTAATAACACATCAGAGATACATTATTCTATTAATTTAATATAACTCTAGTGCATTGTCTCCACATTTATATCAATATTTTAGATGTAGTAATCTAAAAAATTCAACTTTTCCCTTACTCTTATGTAAAATATTCTAAAAAGATCATTACGCTGATTGCTTGCACTTTACTATAATATTCTTTGAAGTATATTTATATAAAATTTAATAAAAAAGTTGAAATTTTTAGATTTATGTTCTAAAAAATGGATAAAATTGTGATGTAGTGCTCTACAAATGCATAAATTTTTCTTAATGTAATAATAATAAACTATGTATGGAGAGCATAGTGATGCTTTAAGAATATTTTACTCTTGTATGAAGTTATTTTTTAGCCTTCTTGATAAAAAGCACTGAGTTCAGCGTTAATACGATTTTTCTTGTATCAAAAGTACTTTCGACGAGTACTATATCGTCGTCTTCTTTTCTATATTTTTTAGATATCCACATACAAAAAACAGATATAAGCGTTAAATAATGTATATATAGTTCACTTGTAATGGTGTTTTTAAGAGTTTATTTATATGAAAGTAAACTGTTTTGGATATTTTTCTGAATTTCTACTTCCTAAAAGTGGATGTAAATGTTAAATAATGTACTCTAGATACATGTATATGGAACAATTTTATTGTTAAAACAATAATTGGTACTAAAAAACATCACAGTTGATTTCTGCAAATGTACAAAGCTCAGACTGACGTACAGGAAATCATAACAATTTAAAATGTTTCTTATGATTTCTTAATAGTTTGTTTTTTTAAAATCTTAAAACCATAAAAAATGAAGTTCACGTACGTATCCAATTCCCAAAAACATATACAAGATCAGTCAAAATGATTTTCACAGGAGACAACTTTGTCATGCAGTTTTTGGGGCTAGTTATAAAGACTGAGATTGGAGAAATTTGTAGAAATAATTAGATTTCATGGATAGATTGGTCGACAGATTAGAGAATGTGGCGTGCAAATTCAACTGCCAAGTGAAGTCCAACCAAATTACGGTAAGGATTTTGATAACAGTTTTTGTCATGGATATAATGTTGAAATCATTTTGTCTAATCTTCTATACTAGACAACTCTCAAATAAAATATTACCAAAAAAGTTATAGTTATGTACATATTCGTATGCGATAACATTAACATGTTTTTGCCACTGGTTCCTCAAGCAATCTTGCAGTTTTTATACATTATATCCATGACAATTTATCAAGATTATAATGTATAAAAACGGCATTGAGAGGACTTATGTAAACTAAACATATCAAATGAAGAAGAGCATAAAGCGCGACTCTCCGTCCTAATTTTAAAAATTATGCTCATGTTTTTTGTATCGCAGTAGAATTTTTGATAAATAAAATGAGATTATATACATTAAAATCTTATATGGATGGGTTTTGATGGTAATTTGGTAGTATTCTGTTGTATGTTTTTGAATACATTAGATGTTAAAATCCAGGTTTCATGTGTTTTTGAAGTGTTGAAGTCATGTTTATAATTCTCAATGTACCAAGACTTTGGTTTTAACTGATAAGATACCTAGACATTAAGACAAAGGTCACACGAAACTAAATAATTAAAACCAAAGATCTACTTCTTCGTCTTCATTTCTATCTGAAGAATCCTGTCTGACAGCCATCTCTTCCTCAGAGTCCGAGACGGCCAGGTCGTTCGTTATAACGTTCTCAGTATTCTCGATCTGCATCTCTTCTTTATTCTGCTGAAATTCATACTGCCCTCTCAGGAGAAAATCAGAAGGATCGTAATTTTCGTCGATGACTTCATTATCTACATTGACAGATTCCTCCTGATACGCGATGTTACCATCTTCCACCACAATCAGACTGTTTTCTTGTTCCACCAAGTCGGACATTTCTCTTCCTTCTTCATCACTCTCGCTGATGCCCAAATCGCTGCCTTCGTTATCTGAATTCTCAGGAGTTATTTGTAGATCTTTGGCAAGAACGCTGCCGTCGTCACCTTCGCCGGTATGTCTTTGGTGATAATAAGACATAGATTCTTCTTCATAATCTCCTTCCATAAATTCTTGATCATCTTTACCCTGAAAAATATTTAAAATTTAATAAAATTATTATAGCTTTTTAATTGTGTTTATATTTAAGTATTAGTTGTAATTTTAAAACTTGTAATTGTAATTTTATAGTGCCTTGACAACCGCATCTAGTTACTTTCACTGTTGTGAGGTTTTGCTTCTAACAACCACAAATATAACCGACAAAAAATTTCTGAATTAAATCCCTTAAATATTAAAGAATTAATCAAAAAAAGAAGACAAAGTCAAAATGTGTCACGTGACTTATTAATGCAGTTCTCAAACTGATATTTTAAACAAACAATTCCAGAGAACTATGCAACGAGAGCATCTCAGAATCAGCAAAAGTGATTGAATCCTCTTTATTGTTTTGCATGTTAATGAGCAATGCGATAATCATTCATCAGAAACGACTATTTTTATCAGATAATGAGTTATACTAATCTGCTGTAAATGAATTTTAAAATGTGTTAAATTTAATTAAAACAGAACGAATGCTTAATCAATATTAAACATGCAGATAAACTGCACCTAGATTATGTAATTACAAATTTGAATGCAATTTTTAACTTGATTATTTGTACAATCAAATTCATTTAAGCTATATTTCCCATATTTTTTGGAAGGGTCAACGACGTCAAATGATATTCTTTAATGCTGCATTTATGAAAGAAACTGTAAAATCTTATGCTAAAAAGAATTCTATAAAAGAGCCGATCTTTAGATTTTATTGATGGATATTGATTTTACAGTTAAACTTATATATGAATTAATTTATGAGGTTCTGAGACAAATGTAAAAAAAATAAACTGAATAACTTATCTATTTTTGAGAACTATCATTAATCAATAATGTATTTCCGCAATGAACAGAAAGCCAAATTCAGTTTGGCTTTCTGTTCATTGGCGTTTATTAATATTAAATGATCTCGATTTACAGGACCTTCCAACTTTTAAATTAAAGAAAAATGTTCATTTTATTCATTTAAAAATACAGAAAACAGTTTTATTAAGTGTAATGTGTTTAATATCTACCAATCTGTGGCATAGTTTATTAATGTTTTGTTTCTTGTTTGCCAGATTGTGGCGAATTGCGCTTTAGCAAGTGTATGTTTTCCTTGGTTTTTAAGGCAATTACCGCTTGACAGAAAGCTCCAAATTTCAAAATCATGTAGATTTATATATTGGCCACATGTTTTTGTGGTTACAAATGGGACTGGAAGTCTTGTGTTGGTGGTGTCAAATTGTTTTGCTGACTCCAATTCCTTAGAGTTGGACAAACAGAAGAATAAAGAAAAGTCTAAGGCTCAGGAATCAGTCATGAAATATTTTGAACCTCAAAAAGTTACCGTATTTGTGACTTTTGAAAAATTCAGGCAATCCATCATTAACTTTGGCTGTAAAAAGTGATATTTCTAAGTTTTCTCCTCTAAAACATTCCTAGACATGAATGGAAAAATAGCTAGAAAGGTAGGGATTTCGTTTGAAAGACATGTCATTAAAACCATGATGGTTAATGAAGCCAAACAGAATTCTGAAAGGTAAATATTTCTTCTTAAAAATGGGTGCCTGTTCTTGTCAAAGAATGAACTATTTTACTGCAAACATTCAGTTTATGAGTGATGAACATAAAATTATTGTAAGAAGCTTATCAGATAGCCATTGTAACTGATAGTGTCTCAACTATGACAAAAGTTGTAAACAAATCAAATGTAAAGAAAGAGAGGGATGAGCTGGAACACCAGGTGAATGAAGAAAAGGAAAATAGTGATACAGATCATTTAGATGAGATGTTTGAAAGAGGTTGAGTGGTTGTCTCTCAAGTATCAAAAGCATATGCATTGTGCAGTCAACATTTTGCAATTGGCCACATGTGACGACACTACATTTAAAGCAGGTTTTGCTTTTAGGCCAAGAATACAGAACTTGATACTCTAGTACCCATGACCGAGTGCCATAATTGACCACAAATCATGAGATATGTGCTATTCATCTAGTGACCAGGTCACTAGATGAATAGCACATATCTCATGATTTTGTGATTCTTGTAGTTGAATCCTGTCCTGGAAGATATGGATAGCTGTAATGTAACAACAGACCATCAATGGGAGGAAGTAGCCCAACTTCAATCTTTGCTCCGAGAGCATTCTTTAAAGAATGGAGTAATCCTAAATTCAAATTAAGTCAAACAGGAAAACAGTATAAGTATATCAGTGGAGTCTAGAGAAAGAATTCTTGTAGATAAGGATGTCCTGCTAACAGCTATTTTTGTAGTAGCCATCTGTATGAAAAGACTTGGAGAGCTGACATAATGTTCAAATTCAACATTCATTTTCCACTTCTGAATCTAGAGATAACGACAAGCATCTGGATTTGAAAGGAAAGGCCAAATGCCATCAAACAGATGCAAACTTTAGATAATAGCCAAAATAACCTGTGAGTCAGATTGCAATATTTCATTCTAAATTTTGTAATATCTTAATGAAGGCTGAAAAAACTTGATTGGACGTCTATCTTAAATAAACTATAACCACGTATTCAGATGATTGTTCAAAAAGTCATCATAGTACCAGCAACAAAAATTAGCAACAAATATTTGTTTTCTGGACTTTGGTTCATTAAATCTGATCTTCATCTATCTACAAAAGGGGACCTGATAGATGCCATTCTACTTCTATGAACAAATTCAGTGCAAGTAATGCCATAACAGTAAGTTTTATGCAACTAACTTGTAAGTTGTAGTTTTTAGTAAGTTAGATTAATGAATTACAAGTCAGTGATAAAATAGTGGATAATATATATATATATATATATAACACCTTCCATTAAATCAATATTGTGTGTCAAAGAACTGTTTCTACATAATTTCAGCATAATGTAACCAAGGTGTAAATTGTCAGGGTCAAATGTTATTAGTCATTTAGATGTATGATCAATCTAAACTTCACTTAGTGCAGACTATATTTAAAAAAGTTTCTATTTTTATTTATTCTCACTTTCTTGATTCTCAAAAAGTGACCAAGGAATTGTTTTTACATTAAGTTGAGATACATAGTAAATTGCACTAGCAAAGAAAGACAATCACAGTACTATGCTACCTAATGCTTGTTGAGAAATAGAACATTTTGTAATGGTTTATACTCTGGATTTCATACCTGAAAATGGTCTATAAAATAGGATGAAAACAATCAGTCAAATAAAATCTCTCAGCAAGCATTAGATGGTATAATAATAAAATCCGCTGCATTCGTGAAACTCTGTGTTGTCTCCATATCAAATATAATTAATGCCACAAAATTGTAAGCATTCTCATTATTGGAAGGAAATCCAGCTTTCAAGAAACAACTCTGAATTGATGGCAAAACCTATCTTCAAGCACAGAGCCATGTGGTAGATTTTTTCAGTATGATGCAAGTCTTTGAAATGTCGCCCTCTTATGGTGCTGCCTGATGTGACTGCTTCTCTGTATCATAACACGGCATAGTCCTGTTCAAGTACTTGAACTCATAAAATCCAAGTTTCTTTGTCAGCATTTCAAGTAATGCTCCGCTACTGTGGATATTCATTTAGTCTCATAACTTGTCGTCTTGTGTCACTTAGAATCAGTGTTGACTGATGATGTTTAACATTTTAAGCAATGCTCCACTATTGTGGGGAGCATTGCTTAAAATGTGCTTTATAACCTTTGTCTGTAATATGAATCACACTTTGATGAGAGAGATTTAAAAATTAAAGCAACATTTTGGTGGTAAAATATGATCTCGACATTCTCAAGAAGCAAAAGCCCTTTCCTGTTTACACATTCCAATCTTTTTGTTTGATTTCCATTCTATTTCAAATTATGTTGTCTATATTCTTAAAATATCTTTGTTTGACAGCCTTTCCAACCACCAGGGAGTATTTGCATTCGTCACTCATATTCGCACATATCAGAATTGTTAGTTATTCTTTTGCTACTCTGTGACCTTCAAGGATGAAACATGTTCCATTAGTAAAGTTTTGTTTGAAAGAGTGTGAAAGAACAATCCTGTTTCATCTGTGTTTTAAATATTTTCTGAAGAATAAACAGTAATAACAAAAGTAAGTTTAGCTTCTACTTGCTACTGCATTGCAATTGACTCTAGTCAATTCTCCCAATAGCTTATCGAGCTGCTTTCAAAATTTTTAAAATCATTCATTTAAAGCTTTTAAATTCAGCACAGGTATTGAGAATGACTCTAGATGCTTTTCTGATAAACTGACTTTCTAATCTGTTAAAAGTTAAACTGTTCTTCCACAATAATTCCACAGCAATACATCAATCATAGATATTTCTATAAGTATTCAGAAACCATTTAATAACTAATCCAGAGTAGGGCAAGTAGCCTACACAAAGGGTCCATCATCTTGTTTATGATACACTCAACCACTAAATGAAACTATATTTATCACCAATTGGCTATTTAGAAATATTTCAATTTTCCATAAATAGTGGCAGCTCATGTCATCTAATATGGGATGTTTTCATAGGAACATGGCACATAACTCTAATAGAATCATTTTGACTTTGTATAATTAGGGTTGTGTGCTGTCCACTCTCCTGCAATAGTTCCCTCATATTAGACACCATCAGCCAAGTAGATTCTAAGTAACACATTATGAGACTAAATGTATGTCCATAGAACTGTTTTCAACCAACCTCATTGATGTTAAAACAATGTTTTTCAATGCATTAGTGCATTGAAAAACATTGTTTCTGCTAATTATGGTTGTAAGATGCACATACCTTTTATAAACTGAAATAAACAGATATATTAAGCTAATTAATACAATTGTAAGTTAGCCAATGTAGAATCTGTAATATGTCATAAACCATATTACAATAATAATAAGCCATGCAATCAAATCAATTTTAAGAACTCAGATTATTGAGTTTCTGAAACTGATTTGACTGCAATCACAGATACTGCAAACAAGGATGTTAACTCAATGGTTATCTTCTACATCCATTAAGGAAGGTCAAGACATCAATCATACAATCTGTGTGTCTCTGTGTCCATAATAAACAATATCCACTTTAGAAAAGTTAACTATAATGAAGTTTTATGCTTTATTTATACCATAGAGCAAAAACTGTTCATTATAGAAAGATGTCCATTAATATATGTTTCACTGTAGTAGAAGTAGAAGTCAGCTAAGTCAAGAGTTTATATCTGGACCTTCAAGAAAGATGTAGTAGTGAGAAAGATGGGAAAACTGTAAAATGTCTTTCTGGGAAAACAACAAGCAAATGAAGAATTGCAATAGTGTGTATCTGAATCTGAGTTTACTAAACATTATACAAAACATTCACTTAATACATTTCTCCTTTCAAGAAATGTATCTAACATTAATTGAGGACTATCTGCATTAATAAACAAAAACAAAAACACTGAGTTCGGCGTTATATGCGTTTTATTATCGCTAGTACTTTCGACGAGCTTATTGTCGTCGTCCTCAGGCGATTTAGACAAAAATTATCGAACACAAAATAGAACGCGTAATATAAATTGAAATTGTGCTAAAGCCGTTAAGAACACGTAGAAATTTAAACATAATTCGAAAGCCGAACGAGCAGATAGCTCCGTGAAGTGCGAGCTGGCGCATGCGCAGAGCTATGCTCTCGCTGCATGCATTCTAGAGACTACGAGTACTCGCTTAATCGCTTATACAACGTGACCCATACACTGGGCAGCTCAAGGGTAGGGGTGTTGCAAGTGTCCAAGGTGGTAGTGAGGAGAGATTCCCATATAAAAACAGTTTTTCGATCTTTGCAGCTCTTGAGCATAACCACTTGGGACCATAGCGGGTTGTAACCCTGCTCAAGTACCTTTTTTGCGAGCTCGGTGGTGTGTCTTCCCCTCATAACATCGTCTTGGTGCTCATCAAGGCGGCTGGAAAGCATTCTAGTGGTGGCCCCGATATATCTTGTATT